TCTTTCCGGTGTATTTTTGTTTATTTTCCTTGCAGTTTATGTTGTACACTCCAGAGTACTCCATTTTGTTGACTTCTTCATGTTGTGCAGGCAAGTTGGTGAAGAGTGTTCTCCTTTTCTTCATGACTACGAATATTTCATTTTCATAGTATTGGCCGTAGCTTCCGAGCCAATTTGAAGGAGATTAGACGTATCCATCGTTTTTCCTTTGCTTCTCTTGCTTTCCTTTTATTATCTTCGTCCTTCCATCTATTCATCACCATCCGTATGTTGCGTTGTATGGATTCTTCTGGATATCCGATTCCAAGGCACATCTGAGTTAGTTTTCCTAGTTTCTCTTTCAAGAACTCTGAACCAGTGTGTCTCCAGAGTATTTCAGTCTTCATCCCAGAAGTATGTTTCGGCTGGAAATAAAGAGGACTTTCTGTTCACATGAAAGTGAATGAAGAAGAGATTCGTTGGTCGATCTCATTATATGAGTATGGATGAATCTCGTACTGCAGCCGTTTTACTTTTATACGATATTCATGTTGAAGCAGTCCACGAGACTTCCTCCCTCGTTTCGGGGGGAAACGTGCTGAGCTTTCGCCCATCATATAATGGACATTATCAGAGCTGGGTTTCATTCTTGTGAAAGTCTCACGTTAACACTAAAGCAAGAACACTATCCGGCTCTATCTTACTTCCTATATAGACTCAATCGATCCCAAAAATTAAAAATTAAAAACCTCGATAGATCGATATAGAGTGGTTTGTTTAATTTTATTTCATACTGGTTCTGTTATTTTTGCTCGATTGTATGAGTATGTATATTTGTGCATGTTAGCGTCTATATGCAATACGGTTCCTAAATAAGACTTGTCAAAGGTTAAATCTCAGGTTCCAGTCCTCAACACCTAATAACCCAAGATAAAATCTTTGACCGAGTAGCCTAGGTCCGTAATTAAGAAAAGTTTAGATAATGAAATATGAGCTTGTAAGCATGATAATCAAGTAACGAAACCACTTGTCCTATCCTTTCAGTCAATGGTCATTAACGTTTAACCCTCCAGGGAAAGGCAAGACTGGGTTTGCGTAATCTGACATGTCTGGTTTGTTTAAAGAACTTACTCTAATATTTTGGGCGAATATGAGTGAAATTAGAACCATCACTGAGCAGATAATTTGAGTCGTATTCTTTTTGAACGTGGCTCAACATCCCCTTTCTCTTTTAATCTATCAACCAAGCATAAGTAATTCTTACTCAACTTTCTACCTCCATTCCTCACATTCAACGTATTTCCTAAGCTATTAATTTCAATAGCTTCTTTTATCTTTGTTTTAAACACAAATGTACCTTAATCGGCAAACCTACTAGTTTGAGGCCATTTTATTACGTGTCCAGCATCTACCATGTGTTCGGCCACTTCTGATCCTTGGATCCAGCTACCTTTGCAAGCATTTTTGTGTTCTACCGATCTTTGTCGAATAGGTCGGCATGTCTCACCAACATAACATCGACCACATGAGCAAACGATCTTGTAGCAGCCAGATCTCGATAATGGGTCATATTTCTCTCTAAATGATGGGATAACAGAAGAAAATGTGAGGGTTTCTTTGAGTACTGTTTTTATGCCCCACTTCTTTACTACTTCGCCTATCTTTTTTGAGAGAAAGCATGACAGTAAAATAAGGACATGGGAAAATGTCTCAATCTGTCTCTCTACTAATAGTTTCCGTCTGAAAATTTATTCCTCGGTAAAGAGATGTTATTTTCAATAAGGCCCAAAGGATAATTATTTTCTAGGAATATATTTGTCAGCCGTTCCAACTCTTTAGTCAAATGTTTGCTATCTGTTAGTTTCATTGATTTCAAAATTCCAACCTTAGTCTTTTAATTATGGTTGAAAAGAAAATTAAGCAAAGAGCCTACATATGTTTGCTTCCCATAAACATCTTTTCCTAACCTACCCTCTTATCTAATGATGAGAACGTCCAGAAAAGGTAAGGACTTATTCTCTTCCATTTCCATCGTAAACCTAATGTTCTTTTCATGCTGGTTGAGTAAAAATAGGGAACAATATAAATTGTCCTTACCATAAGGCCAGATGATGAAATAGTCTTTCATGTATCTAACCAACAATTTAGGTGTTAGTATTGCCTCTTCAGGAAGTGTTCCTCCAATTTTGCCATATAATTGTTCGCTAAGCTGGGTTCCCATCGCTAATCCTTGCGTTTGTTCGTATAACTTACCGTCAAAGGTAAAATATGTGTCACTTATGGATAGGTTAATAAGTCTAATAATGGAAGCAGCTCTCAGATTTATTCCTTGTGTTATCTCTGGATGTTCTTCCAGAATTTCTATCAGAGCTTGAATAGCTCCAGAGATAACACAAGGAATAAGGCTGACCCTTGACTGAAAGGATAGGACAAGTGGTTTCGTAACTTGATTATCATGCTTACAAGCTTACATTTCATTATCTCAACTTTTCTTATTTACGGACCTAGGCTGCTCGGTCAAAGATTTTATCTTGGGTTTTAGGTCTTGAGGATCAGAACCTGAGATTTAACCTTTGACAAGTCTGATTTAGGAACCGTATTGCATATAGACGCGAACATGCACAAATATACATACTCATACAATCGAGCAAAAATAACAGAACCAATATGAAATAAAATTAACCAAACCACACTATATCGATCTATCTAGGTTTTTCATTTTTTACTTTTTGACTTGATTGAGTTTATATAACAAGTAAGAAAGAGCCGGATAATGTTCTTGCTTTAGTGTTAACGTAAGACTTTTACAAGAATGACACTTAGCTCTGATAATGTCCATTATATGATGGAGGAAAGCTCAGCACGTTTTCACCCGAAACGAGGGAGAAAGTCTCGTGACTGAGTTACCATGAATATCGTATAAAAGCCAAACGGCTGCAGTACAACGAGTTTCATCCGTCCTCATCTG